GTCCTTTGCCTCCTAGTTCTTTCCTCTATTTCCCTTTACTTTCCTCTTGTCCCACCATCATGTTTGACCTTCATTCGGCTTTCGTTAATTCCTCTTGGCTACTATTCTCTGCTTTTGGCCAAGATCCATTTGGCATACGTTATGATGTCTCGTTCCATGCCTTCTTCTGAATCAGGTTTGAGCTTCTGGCTGGCCTCTGTCAATGAATGGCTGCTACTGGTTTTGACTTATCTTCAGCATAGTTTTGTTACCATGTGATGCTAATGACACTGTTAGATACTGCCTGCATTTTGTTTGAATGGCACCATTCTTTGGAATGGGCATGAATGTGGTTCTGTTTTAGTCCATTGGCCAGCTGTCTTCCAAATTTCTGACATAGACAAGTGAGTGCTTTCATTGTTGGCTCCCATTTGTTGAAGCTTCTCGGTATTTTTGTGAATTCCTGTACCCTTGCCTTTTGCCAGTGCCTTCAGTACAGCTTGAATTTTCTCCTTCAGGGCCATTGGTTTTTGATCAAATGGTACCTCCTGAAATGGCTGAACATGGGCCAATTCTTTTTGGTATAGTGACTCTGTATTTCTTCCATTTTCCTTTTATGCTTCTTGCCTCTTTCCCATAGAATCCTTCATTATTGTAACTTGAGGCTTGACTTTTTCTTTAGTTCTTTCGTCTTGGCAATGTTCTAACTCCAGGAGTCTTTGCACACTACTTTGCTACGTCCTCTCTTCTCAGTTCACTCTTTAAAATCTTCTGTTCAGCTCTCCCAACTCATTATTTTCTCCGTTTGCTTTAGCTTCTCTTTACTCAAGACAAGTTTAGAGTCTTTTCTGACATCCTTTTTGGTCTTTCTGCTCTTTCCTGTGTGTTAAATGCTCTTTTGCTTCATTTATGGTATCGTGCAACTCGACTGGTCTTCGCTCATCAGTGTCCGATGTGTCAAATCTGTTCTTGAGATGATCTCTAAAGTCCAGGTTGTATCTTGGCTCTTTTGGACGTATTCTAATTTTCTTCAGCTTCAGCTGGGACGTGCTCTGAGCAATTGATGGTCTGTCCCACAGTTGCCTGTGTCTGTGTCCTGACCGATGAGATCACCAGGCAGCCAAAAGCCACGGACTGTCCGACGGACGCAGTCCAGTGGTTCCCGTGTGAACCAGTGATGAGGTCCATGAGTATCGTCTTTGTGTTGTTGGAAAAAAAGCGTTTCAGACGAGTAAGCTGTGGGCTTGCAGAATTCTATTATGCTTTCTCTGGGGTAGTGTCTGTCACCAAGGCCATTGTCTGTCTGAAACAGGTCCTTCTTCATTTTCAACGTTTGCCTCCAATTGCCAGTAGTTATCAATGTATCTTGATTGCATGTTCGATCCATCTCAGACTACAGGAGGTTTTTTTTTTAGACATTTTATTAGGGGCTCATACAACTGTTATCGCAATCCATACACACATCAATTGTGTAAAGCGCATTTGTACATCATTCTCAAAACTTTTTCTCTCCACTTAACCCCCCGACATTAGGTTACAGGAGGTTGTTAAAAACCTCCAGGTTCCTCCTCTTTGGTGTTTGTGGTTGCAGGGTAAATCTGAGGAATGGCTGCAGCAAGTCGCATGCACGACGTGGACGGATCTCCGACTGCGCTATCGTCTGACCTAGATCTCAAAGCGCTCCTTCTAGAAGCGAATGCAGTGCCATTCCTTTTCGGTTGCTACCCTGCAGAGCCGACGACAGGATTATCAGATTCAGAGTGGCCCCTGCCCGCCCCCCCCCCCCCCCCCCCCCCCCAATGGAGAGCACATTGATCTCCAAGCATTCCATTGCATTCCTGCTGGTTTCCCGCTGCCTTGACCCGCACTGCGAACATCCCGTGTTCTCATTGCTCGTGGGCCACAGCAGTCAGATTTTGCTTCTCTCGCCTAGGAGGAGCTTCTCGCCAGCCGATGCAGGTCCCTCTGTGTCCTCCTTCAGGTTGGCCCCGCCCAGCAGTGCTTCTCCAGGCCTGGGGCCCGGCCTGCCAACCCGAGAGGGAGGCCGTCTCCCAACAGTGTGTTGGGCAGCGTTCTGGCGTGAGCCACAAGGTTTCCGAGGACTGATGGTCAGAATTGGATTTCCAGGCCTCTCTTCCTAATCGGTTGTGGTCTGGAAGCTGCACTGAAACCAGTCCACATAGCTGACCTGTAGTACCCTGTTTCTCCGAAAATAAGACAGCATCTTATATTAATCTTTGCTCCCAAAGATGTGCTAGGTCTCGTTTTCAGGGGATGTCTTATTTTTCCATGAAGAAGAATACGGTACACATTTATTGTTGATTGTTTTATTAAAAGAGACCTCCCACTTCCTGTCTGCTCCGGCTGCACTGCGGCCAACAGTTAACTGCATGATGGCACCCACCTCTACGGTCCGGAGTCCAGAGTTACCGTAGCTTCGGGGGGCCTTATTTTCGGGGGGGATGCCTTATATTTCAGCAAGAGGCAAAACTGTAAGTAGGTCTTATTTTCAGGGGATGTCTTGCTTTCGGGGAAGCAGGGTAACACACCAGCCACTGCAGTGTGACAGATGGACAGGCTGATGGTATCTCCAAATATCCACAAATATCCATGAGTCCGGTCCGACTCAGTCTGACTCCACGGGCAGTTTCCACGGAGGCGGATCTTTAGGAGAGCAGATAGCCTCCTGTCTCCCACGGAGTGGCTGGGTTTGAGCTGCTGCCCAGCACTGAGCCATCCAATGCTTCCTCGATGGTGCCACCGGGCTCCCAATGGAGTACCCGATACATGGTAGGCTGAGTGCATGGATGAACTGACCGAGGGATTCTTTATCTTATAGGGACAGGCCAGTTGAGGCTGAACTATCTCTGGTGGTGGGAGATCTCGTTCAGGGCACTGCAGTAACACAGTGCGGCTGTCTCCAGGCATGGACGTTCCCCCTCCGTTAGAATTTAATTACCGATGGCCTGTTTCACCTGCGAAAAGCTTCAGTGCTCTTTCCCATCCACTTGCGTTTCGTAGGGGAATGCTACTGTTGTTTTCGGATAAGCGGTAGACGTTAACTGCAAGGTTGGTAATTTGAACCCACGAGCTGCTCCTTGGGAGAAAGATGAGGCTGCCTGCTTCCTTGGGGATTGACATCCTTGGAGGCTCTATGTCGGGCCACCAAGAGTTCAGATTGACTCGATGGTAATGGGGTTCAATTTTGGATTTGTGTCTCATCATCATCCTGTGAGGGAGGCCAATCAGAAATCCAGGACCAGGAGTGGGGGTAGTGCTACCAGGGGGTGGGGTGGGCAGTAGGGTGAAGGTGGGGAGGAAGGGAGAACTGATCACAATGATTGACCTATAACCACACACACACCCTTCCAGGGGGCAAACAACAGACACCATGGGGGAAGGGAAATGGTGGTCAATGTAAGATATGAAAATAATACTAATAATAACATAATTTATCAAGGGTTCACGAGGGTGGAGTGGGGAGGGAGGGAAAAGAGAGGAGCTGATACCAAGGGCTCAATAGGAAGTAAATATCTCGAAAATAATGATGGCAACCTATGTACAAATATGCTTGATACAATTGATGGATTGTTATCAGAACTGTAAGAGTCCCCAGTAAAATGATCTTAAAAAGAAAATTGCTATCCCCATTTGATAAACTCCCTCCCTGCCCTCGAGTCAATACCCACTCACAGCAGCCCCACAGGCCAGGGTAGAACTGCCCCTGTGGGTTTCCAAGGCGGTCACTCTCTCAGGAGTAGAAAGCCTCATTTTTCTCCCAGGAGCTGGCAGCTGGTTTTGAATAGCTGGCCTTGTGGTTAGCAGCCCAAAGAGTAACCACGACCTGTCAGAGACAACCAGCCTCCAACAACCCAAGGGCCAGAAGGTACAACTGTACGGTGATCACATATAAAGATGATAGTAAAGTCATAGAAGTTAAGAAAGATAGGAGTCAGACACATTGATGGTAGCATGCTCACCTCAGCCCCTCGATGGACTACGTGGAACTGGGAGAAGTGAGAGAGCACCTTTACTACCTTGGCACATATCTAGGTAGACATAAGACATGCTTATTCAGCAGTTACATGTGGTACAAGGTGGGTGGTATCCACAGTGAGGTCCCCGCGCTCACAGGTGAGGAAACCTAATACCTGCACTGGGGGAAGGTACAGGAGGGGTTGGGTGTCACGGCCGGAAGAGAGAGCAAAAGGGCAATGTTAGCTTCTACAGGGAGATCGAATCAACCACTTTACGGCAGCATAGCTGTTAGGGGAGAATCTGTGGGAATGACACTTAAAGCTGGACAATGTCCTTGGATATTACCTCTAATTTACCAAAGTGGAGGCTTTCCTATCATGGAATACCAGCTTTTCAGATTCCCTCTGTTATAAGTTAGAGATTATAGTCCTCGTCATATTTCCCTCCGTGTGAGTTTTGCACAACTACACTTTACCACAGGGCTCCGCGTGGCAGCTGAGCCCTGAGGGAGTCACGTAGACACCAGTAGCAGAAACGGGACCTCAGCAGACGCTTCTGGGCTCCAGGTCTGGGCCCCAGGAGCTCCTGGCTCACTGGGTCCTGGTCTCCCCCTTCCACAGACTCGGTGCCGACGTCTGTGAAATCCTCCGGCTCTCCGGGCCCCTCAAGGAGCAGTATGCTCAGGTAGGTGGTGCCTCGGGGGTCTGCCGGGTCCGTGGGCATTTTCAGCTGCTGTACCTGGGCTCAGTTCTGGTCAGCCCACCACAGTGTTTAAGACAAGTTTGAGGTGGCAGCTGCTGACACGGTGTGATTGGAAGAGACCTGCACACATCCACTTACCTAAAAAGTGGGACATCTCACGGACCAACCTCTCCCTGCCAAGCTGGCTGGCCAGCCACAACCCTGGGACATTTAGCCACATAGGTTGTCAAGATCAATGTGAAATAAAAAAAGACAAGCAGCAGTAAGAACAGAAAAACACGATGTGGAACAGTGTGCGTAGAAGTACCTTTGTGTATAAGAAGGGGAAGCTGACATTTGCTCTCCCAGTACTGGAGGGGCGGCCGGGTTCTGGAACCCTGGTTCTGGAAGCCGCGCCTCCTGGTGGCCAGAGTGTGGAAGCACTTGAAGGCTCAGTAGTGGGTGTTCCAACGTTGGGGGTCTCCAGGGAAGGGCTAGAGGCTGGGGGCGAAAAAGGAGAGATTTTCCATTGCACGTGCAGGTGGATCTCTCGAATTTTAAAGCAGGTGAATGGTTCAAAATTTTTTTTTTACCCGTAAGTACATATGTATTCTTCCGATTGGACCTTAGAACCTTATTTTTTAGAAAGGGACCAGGGAGGCAAGCAAGAGCAGCTTCCCACACAGGGAGGAGTCTTCTCACCTGCGAACCTGTCTTTGGCCTTCCCTGGACCCTACGGGGAGCTCTGGCCAGCACAGACGCCAGGCTCTCTTTGTTGGGCCCTGCTCAGCTGGCTTGAGGCCGGCCTTCCAGGGTTGGTCCGCCCTGCCTCTGTGGGAAGGGTTCCCTGCCCCCTCTGGGTTTTCTCTCACCAGCAGGGCCGTCTGTTGGAGCCTGAGGGGCTCATGGCGATCTGTAGGTTTGATGGCTTTCAAATATTATTAATGGGAACCTTTTCCAAATGCCTAAGTGCCCGGTGTCCAGTGAGCTGCTCTGATCTGGGGAGTGAGGGGAGGAGAGGCCGGTCGGCTTTCCCAGGGGGCCTGGGTACATTTCAGGATCCCCAAGGCTCTTAGAAGCCGTTGGAGACCACAGTCAACTTCCACAGACCCGAGGTAGTCCCACTCCATCCTCTGGGAAGGGGAAGTTTGTTCAGAAGCCCCCTCCCCCGACTGCCCCCTCCGTCTCATTGAAAATCCAACCCAAGCCGAAGGACATGCCAACTCACAGTGGGAAATGTCCCTGACAAGCAGACCCTAGTCCTGCTCCTCCTCCGTGGTCCAGAGGACCCGGACAGCTGGCTGCTGCCCTCAACGGGGGCGTAAGTAGGGGCTTGAGGGGCTGCATCACCTCCCCCCCCGCCCCCCCCCCCATTTTGCAGATGCAGAAACCAAGCACCCGAGGGCTGACGATCTGCTGCAGTGTTCTAGGGGGGCCAGACCCTGAACTGGTGATGGTTTCTGAAGCTCCTCCTGGCAGGGCCCTCCCCACTTGTCAATGCCTCTGGAGAATAGAGGCCGGGTCGGGGAGTGGTCTTCCAGGGTGGCTAGAGAGGCGCCCTGCCCCCTCACTGCCTGAGGAGCCCCCTGGAGGTGGGAGGGCCAGGTTGACCAGCTCTTTGCTGGTGCAGCAAAGGTGCTGCCAGGCATTGAGGTGTGTGGGGCGAGGATAGGGGTGAGGGAGAGAGGAGGGAGGCAGGGGAGTAAAGCCTCCCAGGCTGTCTTGGGGGGGTGGAGGGTGGCAGAGGGGCAGTGGAGGCGCTCAGAGTGCATTGTTTCCAGATTTCCCACTTGAGTGGTGGGCCGAACCCGCGCCCAGGGGATGCAGACTAATTTCAGGATTAGTTTAAGCCAGGGATAATTGGGAAGGCAGGACCGTTGCAAAACACAAAAGCACATCATACATTTCAAAGACAAATGGCAACGATTTCTGGGTGATCCTAGCCCTCCCTCCACTGGATGGGGATTGGGACTCTTCCTTTGTAGGGCTTGCTCCCTCGCAGGGCTCTGCCCTGGCTGATAGGGTCAGGGATCCAGGGTGGGGGGTGGGGGGAACCAGAGGGGACGCAGAGGGGCAGAGAGCCTGGGGACAGAGGTGTCTGCTTTGGGCAGGAGCATGGCCTGGACTTCCAGAGACTCCTGGACGCCAGCACCTACAAGGAGGCCTACCGGAAGGACATGATCCGCTGGGGCGAGGAGAAGCGGCAGGCCGACCCCGGCTTCTTCTGCAGGAAGGTTGTGGAGGGCGTCACCCAGCCTGTCTGGGTAAGAGGACCGGATGGCAGCTGGGGAAAGACCCCCCTGGGCTGCCCTTCCTCCCTCCCTCCCTCCCTTCCTTCTCATGGCTCCCTCCAGCGCAGCCTGACTGCTGTCTCCTCCAGGAAGCCTTCCCTGAGAGCGGGGTCTTAAGCTATGCTCCCTGGAGGTACTCCCATAGCACCGCCCTGGGCCTTCCCCCTTCATTCTGGGAAGCAATGGCGACTGATCTCACTTGTGATAGGAGCTCTGGTGGCATAGTGGGTTACGCGTTGGGCTGCCAGCCACCAGGTCAGCAGTTCGAATCCACCAGTTGCCGCTCAGGGGAAAGACGAGGCTTTCTGCTCCGGTAAAGAGTTACCGTCTCGGAAACCCAGATAGGCCGTCCTGCCGTGTCCTGTGGGGTCCCGATGAGCCGGAATTGACCTGATGTCAGTGAGTCTGAGGCTCTGGGGACACACCAGTGCCTGAGTGGGGTGCAGGCTCTGCCCCCCAGGGAGCCTCCTGCACAGCGGGGGCGGGCTGGCAGAGAGGAGCAGGAAGTCAACGAGCAGAGTGGGTGTCTCCTGCCAGTGGCTCCCGAGTCCATCCCGGCTTCTGGCGGCCTGTGGGTGTGTCTGTGTCTGAGGGGGCGTGGCGTCAGGCTTTCGATGGCCATGGCCTTCTGGGCGTCAGTGGCTTGACTGCTCCCAAAGGGCCGTCGTGTGGGTTTGAACCACCCACCTTGCAGAAAGTCAGTAGCTGAGTGCTGACCTGTCTGCTGGCTCAGAGACTTGGGTTGTGCTGGGTGGAGACACACGCAGGAGCCAGGGAAGGAGGTGAGAGGAGGGCTGGGGAGGGCTTGTGGCCAGAGAGGGTGCCAGGGATGAGCGAGCAGGATCAGAAGACGAGGGAGTGAGCAGTGAGCCCGGTGGGTGTTGGGGGAGAACTTGCCCTG